ATAATTTTCAAATATCGGGCCCTTATCTGTAATTATTTTCATTTTGGGCCCTTATTTGTAATTATTTTCAATTTTGGCCCTTATTTGTAATTTCCCCTAATATTTATTACATGTAGTAATGCTTACTACATGTAATAATATTTACTACATGTAGTAAATATTACTACATATAAGTAATAAATATTATATGTAGTAAATATTACTACATATATATAGTAAATATATTATTAGCTACCTATGAAAGATCGTTACGGACGCAAATTTTCAGATTACTAGAACAGATGTAACGTGAAATCACACTTTTAAAAAAACAGTTGATAACTAGAAAGTTTAACTATATAGACACCTTTTGCGCTCTAATAAGAAAACTTTCTTGTGAAATTTTGATATAGAACATGCTCTATTTTAATCTCTACCCTGACCCCAATATTAGGTTTAATACTTTCAAATATTACACATATTAAAGTTGTGAATTTCATAGCCTGGATAGTTTATAAATTTATTACGTATTATTGTAATTAAAATTGATTAAATTATTACCATGTAAGCATAAAGCAAAGCCAATCCTGCGCCTAATTCAGGTATATTCTAAATCTGATAATTTTAAAATAATGCGCATGCATAATGTAGCTCGAAATAATTCAAGTTCTCGATCGGGTATTTAATTTGTTTTTTTTTTTATTCATTAGTGCTTTTAGATATATGCATGAAGTATAACGTCACACATGTACGTAATGTATAAAGGTATAATAAACCCAGATGCTGTATCTTGTTAAAGACAATCATAAATCGGCGCATAGTTATTGTTCAGAAGTGCATTTCACAATTACGCAATCAGAAATTATACTTAAATAGTAAAAAATTTCGCACGGTCATAATCTGATGGTAATTATGTCTTAATTGCAGATTTCCTATCGAATACGATCCATTCTATCTTTTCTCACAGTCATGATTGGTAAAAATGTACAGGACGCTTGGATGGATGATAATTTTAGGCCAGACCATTTTGATTTGGTGGTTTACATTACCCCCACTCTCTTATTGTTACGAATAGTATTATTAGTAATTCTATACAATAACATTTTTTTTTCATTTACAAAACTCTCCTAATATCAAAAAATTAAATTTTTCTCACAATAGCATCACTGCTTATTATTTTGAAACTCCCAACTTAGCTTATTTGGATACTACTAGTAATTTACTTACTATCTTGGATCTTCATAGCACACCAAATTTAGTGGAGTTAAAATGTTCCAATAACCCCATTTCTAACTTGACTCTAACCCAATCTTCTAAACTTGTTCTTTTTGATTGTTTGGGTGTTAGATTTGGCAAAAATAATGTTGCATCAACTCCCAATTCCCCTTTTTCTCCTTCAACTTCTCTTTCTCCAACCGTAACAATCTACTCCAAAGATCCCACCTCCTTGGAAGCACTATTGGACTGGGTGTCTACTCGGGAATATGCACACTTGGTTTGCTAATCTTCGGTTTCATTCTCTTTTACAAACGCTATTTACAAAAAAATGTTATCCCAACTCCGGGCAGTTTATCTAAGTGATAATTTTATAAGAAAGGTCAAATTAGCTTCTTTTTTCACGTAATTCAAGTTATTAAATCTATTAATCTTATGTCAATCTATTCTAATAAATATCTTTATCATATAAAATTTAATTATTTTTTGAGTTTCCATATTAATTATGTTTCGGCTGATATTGAACTGTTCTGGCTTTTTGCATAGGAACTGTGCAAAATTCAATCCACAGAATCCCAATGGTACTGTACATAATCCTAACAAATGAAATCTTGGAATTGTGTTGAATCTCGAAATACAAAATCTGCCAATACTAAGATCCTGACAAGTTCTAAATCTGACAAATGAAATCTTGAGATTTTGTTGAATCTCAACATACAATATCTTCAAATACCAAGATCCTGACAAATACAAAATCTGACAAATACAAAATCCTGGCAATGCAGAATTTTGATAAGAAAACATAAATTTAAGTCTAAAATGCAAAATATTAGAATTAATAGTCAAATTTTGAATTTCGGAATTTTAAACAGTCAGGACACTGTACAGTTCACATTGGGATTTTGCACTTGTCAGGATTTTAGCATCTCAAGATCCATCGGGATTGTGAGCGTCTAGGTTTGGACCAAACCCTTTTTGCATTAATATAAAAATTTTAATTACTTTCATAGTATGGAATCTTTTTCGTTTAGTTTCTTATTTCTTTTTTCCGTAAATCAATTTTTAACTTTTTTTAATTCTTAATATTTAAGCGTAATAGTCCCATCATTGTTTTCCATCTCACACGTATTTTCATGCTAAATATAAAGAAACCATATACACAGAGTTTATTAAAATTACAAGTCGAATTCAAAGACAAAGTCTCAAGGGAAAATCCGGATAAGTATATATTTTATTATTTTATGGTAATTGAAACTGGACAAGGAACTATCCTTTCGTTTATTAAACTCATGGTCTTTATATACATTTTATTTTTCCACCACGTAGACATCGAAATTTCAAGGTTTACACCTAAATTTCAAGGTTTACACCTAAATTCCAAGGTTTACGTGAAAATTTGAAGGTATACACCGAAAGATCTCAAGGCACAGTTTTAGTGTAACCGCGTATACGCGG